TTAATAGATTAGATATAATATGTTTGATTAGTTTTATCGAGGAGTTTAGGTCAACCAGCTGGTCTTCTGTAAACATTTGGATAATAAACCAAAAACAGACCAGAGTTCTGAAAAGATGATGTTCAGTGAAATCTGACGTAAAAAGAGATGTGAGTGAATCCATCTTCAGGTCCGGTTTGACCTCATCTGATCCTGAGGGCTCTCCAAGTCTTTGTTGAAAGGGGAACTGGATCCAGCTGTTAAAGGACTGGATGGTTACCTGACCTCCAATTTTCACCACATCCAGAACGGCTCCGATCCGGAATGGCGGCGGTTTTCGCCATACGCCAATTCCTACCAGATCCGTTTGTGAGGCGAATTTCGTGGCAGATTATGGACCGCAGGAATCGCGAGAACTCACAAGAACCCTCGGATTCACGATCAATCACGCGATAATGAGTTGTCTCTATAAAGACAGACACATAGACATATAAGCAGTTGATTGTGTCCTTCCAAGGGAATCTACTTCTAGACTTCTAGAATCAGCATCTCCTCATCCATGGTGTCATCGGGGTGAAATGACGTCTAAAAACCTTTCACTTGTTCGTCTCTGCCCGTTTGCATGGTGTGAAATACGATCCTCCTGAAACACAGATTGTTTTATTTTGAAAAGAAGCCAGATGTTTTATTTTGAAGTCTGTGCCCAACTTCCTCTCCAGCACGGGTTAATCTGTGCTGAATGTATCCGGCATGCTCCGGCGTCTGCAAAAAATAGAGCTCTTGTGATCAGCTGAGGAGTCCAGCGATCCGCAGAGGAACGGAAAGAAGCCGGTGGAAATTGACACGTTAACTTTAATGGTTACGATCAGCTACGATTAGAGGATACCACCTTATAGTAGACGTTCAGGGTGGAAATTGGGGGTGAGAGTCTTTGTCAGGGTTGTTGACCTGGTCTCTCCTGGGGATGTGTCCTCCTGGACCTTCAGATCTGCCATGCTTATCCGACCCGGTCAGTGTTAGTTTGGGGGTTCTTGCACGGTGGTCTTTCTGTGGTCCTAGTTTCTGGTGAAATGAGTGAAAACCTGCTGGACTCTGATGTACTGATGTTCCCTCTTCTCCCTTCTCCTGGTTCTGGATGGGACTCGGGCTGCAGCATTTTGGACCAGCTGAAGAGTCTTTAAAGACCGTTTAGGGGGTCTGATAAAAGGGACTTACTGTCGTGTCTGGACTGGTTTTCTGATTTTATTACTCAGTTAAAACCGAAAAAACAAAAACATTCTGGAGATTCTTTGGATGTGGGACTTAAAGGATCCATCCTAGTACCAAGAGAAGTCCCGGTTTCCTGTCAGTGGTTCTGGATGTCAGACTGATGCAGTTACATCATTAGAGTAGACAACATCCAATCAGAGATCAGAGTCAGTCCTCCTGTTGACACACACACACACACACACACACAGCGGACAGGTGTGTGTGTGTGAGTGTGTGTGTGTGTTTGGTTTCTGTTCTCGTCTTTAATTGTTCGACCTCTGATCCTCTCTCTGCTCCTCGCCTCCATCTTCCAAAAATCAATGAAGCCGCTCTCTGAGGACGCCATTACTGCAAACGTGTGTGTATGTGTAGGTGTATGAGTGTGTATGCGTGTGTAGGTGTGTGTGTGTGTGTGTGTGTGTGTGTGTGTGTGTGTAGGTGTGTAGTTCTCCCCTCTGCTGTGTTTTTCCAGCTCAGCCTCAGGTAGAGGCAGACAGGTCAGCAGACAGACAGGTGAGCAGACAGGTGAGCAGACAGGTGAGCAGACAGATGAGCAGACAGACAGGTGAGCAGACAGATGAGCAGACAGGTGAGCAGACAGACAGGTGAGCAGACAGTGGACCCCCCCCACACACACACACGCTCCTAACAGGTTATTTTCTCTTTCTGTGGTCAATTTCCTGATAATTTGGATATAATTCAGTGACTGTTGAGCCTCTACTATATGTGAAAAAGCTTTAAGTGATTTTCCAGTTTGTGTTTTTGCAAGTTTGCTGGTGTTTAATAAAGTAAACTATGTTCCTTTATTCTGTGCTGTTACCTTCAGACAGAGTTAGCAGTTCAAAGTCCTGTTGGGGTCCACATGGATCAAGGATTGACCATCGGATTGTTCTGTGTTCAGAACAAAAGTGAATAAGCCACTTTCCAATACTAGTTCTGTAAGTTTTCAAACATGTCCTTGTACAGTCGAGAACGTCTTCACTCTGGACAGATGACAGATGATAGACGCATATAGCATCGTTTCGTTCCATTTTTATGCACTTTTGAAGGCTGTTTTCTTTTTTTCCTGTTCTTTTCTTCCTCTTCGCTTGTCTCGCTGCGAGATGCGGTCGTCGCCATGTTTATGTATTTCTGATACTATGGCAACGAGACTCGGCTCCTATTGGTCCACGTGACAAAAATCGCTTCACCCCCTGCATATTCGATTGCGCGTGTGCAAGTATCACTACGCTGCAGAAGAGAAATAGTTTGACACCGAAACTGATTACTAAAAATCGACTATATGACATGAGTAGATTTTTTTTTTAATACTTACTATCAATAGAGCTTTTTTATGAATCACAGTTTATATTGCACCACTAAAGTGGAACGAACCAACACGATCTCATTCAGCCAATACAGCCTAATTGTAGGCTAAGCTAATGTGTATTCATGCCACTTCCTGAACGCAGGGTGATGGGGTGGGGAAGGAGGGGGAGGCCTGTCACTCATGGCAGACCGCGCCCCTCTCAGTCGAGGCCCGCCCCCACGGAAAAACAGGGTCAAAAGTGAACCTGAAACTTAATCTAATCTGAAACCGAAAAAAAACGTTTTGAATCCGTAAAAATAAGATCTGAATCTGAAATAAATAAATAAAATTCAATCGAAAAAACAAGTACTCCAAGATCGAAATATACATTGAAGTGAAAAATATAAATAAGTAATTTATTCAAAAGTATTAAAAAACAGAATCAAAGTTACATTTGAACAGATTTTATTCATGCATTCTGGGATTTTTCAAAGTTCAATTTCGAAATTCAAGACTTTCAGGTTCCATTTTATTTTTTTCAGGTTCAAATCTTACGTTTCCACTTCACTTTTTATTTTTTCACTTACACTACTTTTCAATACTTTTGAGCCTGATCTGGCTCCATATTGACAGGCGTGTTTGACTCTGGCACAAAGCTTACTGGACACACACACACACACACACACATATCAAGTGCTGGGTAAGGTGTGTGTGAGATACTGGTGAGTCAGCAGCAGATATCAGTTGCATTTTAAGGGAGTGTCTGTAAACCTGGACGCTAACGCATGCACACACACACACGCATGCACGCACGCACACACACACACACACACACACACACACACACACACACACACACACACACACACACACACACACACACACACACACACACCCTGCTACCTGTGCAGACCTGTAGCAGACAGTCAGACTGATGTTCATGTTGAGATGGTGACTCTTAGCCTGGCTGGGCCATCCAGTTGCATGAATCACTTGCCGTTCCTTCCCACAACAGTCTGGACTTCGGCCAATTGGGAGCCCTAAAAGCCCTACTGTAACCAGTCACCGTAACCAAACATCTGACGTCATCACAGCGCGCAACTGTGTCCCCTGCTGGGCTATCAATTAAAGGTTTGGTAACCTTTAATTCTGTGAGCAAACAATGTCTTTTACGTCTTCTTCAGCGGACATAAACGATTTCTGCCGACTTTGCAGTCAACTGCAGAATTAACAGCGTTCTGAATGAACAGCGCTTTGAATGTGTTAGACGTCACCATCTACACATGACCAATCAGGGGCTGCCTTTCCCTGTTGTCCGGGGAACAGTGGAAACACAGTCACTAATTGGCCCGGTTATTTTCTGATTTCTAATACACGCTCCCAATAGGTCGAAGTCCAGACCGTTGTGGGAAGGAACGGCAAGTGATTCACGCAACTGGATGGCCCAGCCAGGCTAGGTGACTCTAGCTTGATCCTTGATTCTGATTGGTCCTTTAAAGTCACCAACATCTTTTAACAGCAAAAACCAAAGTGTTGCTATCGAAACAGCTCATGACTTCTCATCTGACATCAAGAGGTTTAAATCAAGTAAGCTTTTAAAAAAAATCCAGTAAAGTCATCATCAGAAACATGTTGAGAAATCTGAGAGAAGAAAAAAAGTATTTTGAAAATAAAAGCTCAAAAAGACATGACAAAATAAAAGACTCGGGTGAGTGCGGGGACACCACATCCCATCAAAGGTTTAGGAAAACTGGATCGGGCTTTCATACAGACAGGGCTCTGGAGTGGAAATCACCACATGGACTCAGAATCACTTAAAAAAACACTGACTGTGAAACTCAACCATGACTGAGAAGACCAGATAGAACCAGGATCCAGAACCACCAGAGACTTCTGTGGACCTGAGTCCATTTAAGGTGGACTGAGGGAAAAACCTGTCCTGAGGTCTGATAGATCAAAATCTAACACTCTTTTGTAAAGGACAACTGGACTTATCAACTAAGTCCCAGGACAACTGGACCAACTGGACCAACTGGACCAAGGACAACTGGTCTTCTCAACTAAGTCCAAGGACAACTGGACTTATCAACTAAGTCCCAGGACAACTGGACCAAGGACAACTGGACTTCTCAACGAAGTCCAAGGAAAACTGGACCAACTGGACCAAGGACAACTTGACTTCTCAACTAAGTCCAAGGACAACTGGACCAAGGACAACTGGACTTCCCAACTAAGTCCTGCTTCTCCTGCCGTGCAGTCGTCTCTCTGCTTGCTCCTGCTGCTTGAGCTTTAATCATTTCTTAATGAAAGATTTCTCTTTTAAGTAAACCAAGATTTTTAAAATCATTTTTGTGCTTTTTACTGTACTTTACCACTTTTTACACTAGAGGGGATTTGAGCAGTGGCAGTGGTCAGCTACCATCACTGAGCTTCGTCTGGACAGCTGTTACCGAGTGGCTGGATAATACAGCTAACCAGCACCAAGATGCCCCCCTTCAGCACGGATGATTACCACAAACTGCTTCAGAAAATTGCAGTGCTAGAGACCAAAATCAACCGGATAGAAGCAAATGTGGATAGAAATGGACGTTGCGGGAATGAAACAACATCTTGTGATCAGGACCATAACACACAGCTGATCACTATCGACCAAGAAGACTACAGATCCTCCAATGCCTCTTCTTCGGATTCCCTCGGAGCTAAACCCAAATCATCTCACTGGAATATGGGAGGACAAGTAACAAGCAGAGCCCAGCGCCCTGAGATCTTTGACGAGACTGGCTGGCCTAAACTATCTTCAACCAGCGCAAGAAGCAACCGTGGATAGCTGCCAAGGCAGTCCCTAAAATCAAAAACAATCTCCCCCAGCAGCAGCCATCCCTCCCACTGCACAACAGATTTGCTACACTGTTACGGAATCCTGGATCCTCATCTCCGCATAGCAGGGTAAGATCCGAGAGAAAATCAAAAAACGGGGAACCTCAAACATTGATTGTGGGTGATTCTGCTATAAAAGATATACATAACATGAGCAAAAAAAGCAAAGTACTCTGCTTCCCCAAGGATATGGTCTGTGACATAACAGGCAAAATTCAGGATATAGTGGCCTCATATCCCTCTCTGACAGCTATTGTGATTTACTGTTGAGCTAATGACATTGTAACAGAACAATCTGAAAAACTAAAACGTGATTTCAGTGAACTATTAAAAACAGTCAGCTCCCTGAATGCTCAGGTATTCATCAGTGGCCCCCTTCCACCAATCAAAAGAGGAGATATGAGATTTAGCAGACTGTTTGCCCTGAATCGATGGCTATCTACTGCCTGTACCAAAGTCAACTTTATTGATAACTTCAGGCTGTTCTGGGACTGCAGGCATTACTTCAGAGCAGACGGACTCTCTCTGAACAAAACTGGAGTGAAACTATTCACCTCCAACCTGTATCACTCCCTGCGTCACCCATCTGTCAAGGACAAGAGACAAGAGGCAAAAAGACATGAGATAAAACACCACGGCCTAGACAGAGAGACGCCTCGGGCCCCCCCACGCCCAAAAAGCTTTGGCTCAAGCCAGAAGGAGGAGTCTGTACTTCCTCTACCACCACTCTCCTTAGAGGACCCACCCTGCTCAAGCAAGGAGGAGGAATCTCTACTTCCTGTATGCCCACCTACCAAGGAGGACGTGCCCTGCCAAACTTCACCCATAGCATCCTCCTCCCTGGGCACACCATCCCCCTCCTCCTCCCTCCTGGATTTTCCAGCTGAACCGAGAGAACTGGAGAATGCTGGAGTGAGACTTAGCGGCACGCTTCTCCACCATTCCCGCTACAGGACCCCCCCCCAAATCGCAACGTGCAACGTGCAACGTGCAACGTGCCCCTCCTCCCCCACGACAAGGAGTACTGCAGCATCCTCTCCCTCAGCGTGATAAGAGCACAGGACTTACAGTCAGGAACACCTCGTTCTTAATAAGCTCTTGCTGATATGTTTTGGGTCCAGGCAAGGATAACTACAGTTATATCTCTTCCCAGAACAGCCTGTGGCCCGATGAGGTAACGTCATCAATCCCAGTCTTAATAAGTAATAGACACACTAATCTGCCTAGAAACAGAAGGTACCTAACTAAGAATTCATCAAACTTAGCTTCCATCCCCCGTCAGCCCATCATGAAAAATAGTACAGATAATTTCTCTAGCACACTACATTCAGCTCTTTTAAATGTCAGCTCTTTAGCTGGAAAATCAGTCTTAATCAACGATTTTATCATCAAGCACAATCTCAACTTAATGTTTTTAACTGAAACCTGGTTAGGACAAGATAACAGTGCAACTGTTCTTATCGAGTCAGCCCCCCCTAACTTCTGCTTTATGAGTGAAACGGAAGCATAGTAAAAGGAGGTGGAGTAGCTATCTTATTCAAGGACTCAATGCAATGTAAACAGATGTACTATGGGAATTTTCCTTCCTTTGAATATGTGGCCTTCCAGTTGAACTCTGCTATTAGAGCAATATTCCTTAACATCTACAGACCTCCTAAATACTGGGTGAATTTTTTTGATGACTTTACTGAATTGCTGTCTATAATCTGTATTGACTTTGACTGTGTAGTGATTGTTGGTGATTTTAACATTCATGTTGACAACCCCCAGGACAGAGGCACCAAAGAATTGTGCTGTCTCCTTGATAACTATGGTTTGACCCAACATGTAACAGAGCCCACACACAATAGAGGTCACACTCTAGACCTAATTATTTCCAAGGGCCTGAACATACCCAAAATCATGATTACTGATGTTGCTATCTCTGATCACTCCTGTGTGTTTTTTGAGAGCACTATTTCTATGCTATTCACTACTACTCAGACAGAGGTAATCACCAAGCGGCTTATAACTGACAACACCAGTGAAATATTTAATCAGGCTTTGACTCCTCTCCCAGCTCTCTCACAGCTCTTGGTCAATGAGCTTGTAGAAGACCTTTGTTCTAGAATTACAAATGTGATGGATGCCATTGCGCCCACCAAGGTGAAAATAGTTTCTGGCAAGAAAAGATCTCCATGGAGGAATACCGCGCTGGTTAGAGCTGAAAAAAGAGAGTGTCGGAAAGCTGAACACAGATGGCGAAAGACAAGCCTTCAGGTTCACTATCAGATCTATAAAAAGAGACTTCGTATCTTTAAACTAGAACTGAGAAATGCTAGACGATCCTTCTTCTCAGACATCATCACCAAAAACAAAAATAATGCACGCGCCCTATTTACCACAGTCGACAGGCTAACAAACCCTCCAGTATCAGTAGCCTCTGAATTTCTGTTCGCCAAGGCTTGTAATGAATTTGCCTCCTTCTTCAATAACAAAATCCAGAAAATTAGACAAACAGTCAGTAGCTCAATATCCGGTACAGGATATGTGTTGTCCACGCGTACTAACCCCAGTAGCATGACACAATTCAACCCGATCAACATTAAAACCCTGGAGGACATCATACTAAATCTGAACTCCTCCACCTGCTGCCTTGATATTCTGCCAACAGGTTTCTTTAAAACAGTTTCTAATTGCATGGCCTCAGATCTTCTACAGATTGTCAACATGTCACTTCTGTCAGGTGTCTTTCCACAGGCCCTGAAAACTGCTGTCATAAAGCCTCTCCTAAAAAAAAGCAACCTAGACAACTCAGTAATGAACAATTATAGGCCTATATCGAACCTCCCGTTTTTAAGCAAAATCATTGAAAAAGCAGCCTTCCAACAGCTTCACAACTTCTTAGTCCTAAACAATTGTTTTGACGTTTTCCAGTCAGGGTTTCGACCGCACCACAGCACTGAGACTGCTCTTATCAAAGTCTTTAACGACAGCCACTTAAACTCAGACAATGGCAAAATTTCAGTCCTAGTATTGCTCGATCTCAGTGCCGCTTTCGACACGGTTGACCACAGCATCCTACTCGATCGACTGGAAAACTGGGTGGAACTTTCTGGAACAGTACTAAACTGGTTTGCATCCTACTTAAAGGATAGAGACTACTTTGTGTCTCTAGGTAATTACACATCAGAGCGAACAAAAATGACATGTGGCATTCTCCAAGGCTCCATTCTGGGGCCACTCCTATTCAACACTTGCATGCTCCCTCTGACTCAAATCATAGCAAACAACAAAATATCTTACCATAATTATGCAGACAACACACAGATTTACATAACCATATCGCCAGGCGACTACAATCCAATACAAACACTGAGTCAGTGCATTGAACAAATCAACGATTGGATGTGTCAGAATTCTCTTCAACTAAACAAAGATAAAACTGAAGTAATTGTATTTGGAGCAGAAGAAGAGCGATTAAAAGTCTGTGCTCAGCTTCAATCGATAATGTTAAAAGCACAAACCAAGCCAGAAACCTTGGCGTTGTCATGGACTCAGACCTGAATCTTAACAGCCACATAAAGACAATTACAAAGTCAGCCTACTATCACCTGAAGAATATATCGAGGGTTAAAGGACTGATGACCCAGCAGGATTTGGAAAAGCTTGTCCATGCATTTATCTTCAGCAGACTCGACTACTGTAACAGTGTCTTCACAGGTCTCCCCAAAAAATCCATCAGACAGCTCCAACTGATTCAGAATGCTGCTGCTCGAGTCCTCACTAAGACCAAGAAAGTAGATCATATCACCCCAGTTCTCAGATCTTTACACTGGCTTCCCGTCCGTCAAAGAATTGATTTTAAGATACTATTGCTGGTTTTTAAAGCACTGAATGGTTCAGGACCAAAATACATTTCTGATCTGCTGGTACGTTACAAACCATCCAGACCACTCAGATCATCAGGAGCAGGTCTGCTCTCTGTCCCCAGAGTCAGAACTAAACGTGAAGAAGCAGCTTTTAGTTTTTATGCTCCTCATATCTGGAACAAACTCCCTGAAAACTGTAGATCTGCTGAAACTCTCAGCTCTTTTAAATCACAGCTGAAAACGCATATGTTTGCTGTGGCCTATCATTAAATCAAACCTGAGGCCTCTAATCAACATCTTCATCATCTGCCTGTCTTGATCTTTTTTCTCTCTCTCCAATCTAACTTTTGTTTTCTTTTATCTCTGACCTCATTTTTGCTTTGAATGTAAATTTTAATTTGTTAAATGTCTTTTACGCTGTTTTTACTTTTCAAATTGTGTTGAATGTTTGCCTGCTTGTTTCATGTAAAGCACCTTGAATTGCCCTGCTGCTGAAATGTGCTATACAAATGAACTTGACTTGACTTGACATGACAACTGGACTTCTCAACTAAGTCCAAGGAAAACTGGACCAACTGGACCATGGACAACTGGACTTCTCAACTAAGTCCAAGGACAACTGGACCAACTGGACCAAGGGGCATTGGACTTCTCAACTAAGTCCAAGGACAACTGGACTCCTCAACTAAGTCCAAGGACAACTGGACCAACTGGACCAAGGACAACTGAACTTCTCAACTAAGTCCAAGGACAACTGGACTCCTCAACTAAGTCCAAGGACAACTGGACCAACTGGACCAAGGGGCATTGGACTTCTCAACTAAGTCCAAGGACAACTGGACTCCTCAACTAAGTCCAAGGACAACTGGACCAACTGGACCAAGGACAACTGAACTTCTCAACTAAGTCCAAGGACAACTGGACTCCTCAACTATGTCCAAAGACAACTGGACCAACTGGACCAAGGGGCATTGGACTTCTCAACTAATTCCAAGGACAACTGGACTTCTCAACCAAGTCCAAGGACAACTGGACTTAGTTGAGACGTTTCGCCTAAGGTGAAACGTCTCAACTAAGTCCAGTTGTCCTTCCAATGAAG